TATTTTGCAATTGCAAGAAGAGTTACCTCAACAGCAAACTGATCAAAAACGAAAAACGTAAAGCACTGCGTGACAAGATTTATGGTACAGTAACTACTATAATTGATATAGTTTTTATGTGAGCCTCTTATATTTTTAAGATCCAAACATTAAAATTATACTATGACAGTTTCATCAATGTACGTACATACATATATGGTGCCCCTTCCAGAACAGTTTATCCTACACTTAATGCTAGAATCTTTTTCGAATACAAAACTATATTGCTGCGAAAAAATTCCGTTTTGCAGTACCTCCGTAAAAAAAAAAAATCATTTTTTACACTTTGAGTATTAGTTCTTTATTGAAAAAATTTTTCGATAAAATAAAGGGACCCCTAGTGTTATGTGTACACATTGTATACCGGGCGAAAAAATTATACGTTTCAACAAAGGCCATATAAATTCAAAGTCGTACAAAAATTAGAAAAATTCAACAAAGTTGCACAACGACAATTTTCTAGTTTGAAGTGACTACAAAACACCTTTGATTTATGAATGTTTATTGCTCGGTCAAACACCAAGCACCATTATATTATTTTTTATTATTATTATCACACATTTTCTTTCGCACAAAGCACACTGGCCGGAACTTAATTTTTTTGGTATAAACTCTAAAAAGAAAGTTATCATTTTCAAACTTGGTACGTATGTTCATCATCCCATTAGCAAGTTATGGTAAAACTTTTGGGCCGATCAAATAGCCCGTAGCCCCGCCTTCCCCTTCCCCCATATATAACGTTGCATTTGAACGAAAACCTTGATCAAAACTTTTTTAAAACTTGCTAATCACCACAATTCAATTTGAATTTGCTTGTTAAAACATGTGGCAACCCTACTAAATATAGTTCTGAATAAAGGCTTTCAAACGTATTTCGATCGGTTACATTCATAATCCGGAAATTTAAAATCCAGACATATCAAAATAAAGACAAAATTCAAAAATGCAGAAAAATCAAAACACAGACAAATCAAAATACCGGCAAATCAAAATCCAGACAAATCAAAATACCGACGAATCAAAATACAGACAAATCAAAATACTGACAAATCAAAATACTGACAAATCAAAATACAGACAAATCAAAATACTGACAAATCAAAATACAGACATGAGGGGAAAAAATGTCCGTATACAATTTTTGTAAATCAAAATCGTGTCTGTTAAGTCGTAGTTAGGCTCGCAGAGAGATCTGCGCAAAAATATTGTGGGAAAAATACTGGGGAATACTTTTCTAAAAAAATCCCGAATCCACCCCTAACCTTCTTCATCAAAACAATTTCAGTGTACCGGAATTTATTTAAAAAATTTTAATTAGTAAGTATTTACAAACAATCATTATGAATTTTGATTTGTCTGTATTTTGACTGTCCGCATTTTGAATTTCTGGATTTTGATTGTCTGGATTACGTTATACACCCGTATTTCGATTGATACCAATCTCCTTCAAACACCTCAAAAATAGCTTAAATATTCAAAATAAAGATTTCTTTCGTTTCGACTTTTCAAGGAGGCAACCCTTACGAAAAAACAAAAATGTATTGCACATCTATAGGCCAAGCTCTTAACACCTGACTTTTGAAAATTGAATGAACTGTGCAAGGTGGCAACCCCACAAAAAAGAACTTATTGCACATCCGGGGACCTTATCCTTTCACTTTGCACCTTATTTTTAGTCCCAACTAACTGTAAAGATATTATAATTTTTTAAATGGTGACAGCCCTACTAAAAAGATAATATATTATTCGTCATTTAGAGGCCAATCACCTTCATTTGACACCTCATTTTCTGTAATCCAACGAACGGTGCGGATCTTATAATTTTTTAGACAGATGGCAACCCTATAAAAATTCTCAAGCCTAAAGATAATACCTCTATTAAAAATTCAATCTATAACAGAAACCACATAAATTAACTTAAAAAAAGTCATCAAAATTTTCAAATTTTTAATCAGAAGATTTCAAGTTGCAGGTTTCAAGTTGCTAAAAATGACCGTTGATTTTTTAGAATTTTTCTGTGGAGGGTGTTGCGGATTTTTTGTTATATGGAAGAAAATGCGCAACACTGTCCAGAAAAAAAAATTATATCAAGATATCTTGATAACTTTATAACACCGCCAGAAAAGTTTACCCGATTCGCCAATCCAATTACATTTTGTCTTAAATTAATCAAACTTAAAAAAA